CTCAACAGTCATTGGGTACAATGTTGAGACTAGCTCAACGCCGGATCTTTACTTTGACACAGGCACCTAAAGATTCCTTTATGCAATATCAAGATTGAATAAACTAAGAACTAACAGAGTTAGGATGTCCACATCCATATTTTTTCATCTATAACCACGTTGATCAGCAGCTTCATTAATCAGTGGTCTTTACACGGGTACCTCAGTGGAAGCCGAAAAAAATTCGAACACACTTTGCCCACAACCTAAGTAACTGTGATTACTTATTAGTGTACTTCTTGACATAGTCTGCATCACTAACCTCCTTATTTCCTTTGCAGCAAACTGACAAGCCTAACGACTCTATCAAATAGTAAAGTAAGTAAATAACGAAGTAAGCTAGTACTCTGGTCATACGAAAGAACGCGGATTTAACTGCTGTGATAAAGCAAGTACGAAAGCCCATAAGAGCAGGGTGATCTTGATCACAGCGTGAAATTTAGAGCAGCCAAAGGAAAGAACCATAAGCGCCGCAGTTCAAGCCAGGCATGCCAACCATAGCAGGAGAAGGATGACTATAATAATTACATCGCATTTAATTTCAATTAAATCATCAAATCTGTACTGCTTTCAAACTTTGAGTACTTCGACTTATACAACTCTTAACAACCAACAGTTTGACGATCGCGTTCTTGAATATAACGTTTGGCAATCGCAAAAGGGCTATGTTCATACTACGTTGCTTAACTGCAGCATTTCTATAATTCCTCTCTTTGAACACATAACGCTGAGACGTCCAGATCACATAAATTAGAGGCAATTCCTGCAGCGTTTATCAACAGTATCCGGCAGTACAGCTAACTGTATGCACGTAAGCGAGAAAAAAATTACTAGCAAATCCTGAGCGAACACTAAAACATTAGGCAGGAAGCATGCGTTGTTATGCCAGTAAAAACACGCGCAGCTTCAAAAACGCACTTTTAGAATGAATCCCTATGACTTGCCAACGTAATTTACCGGTCAGAGGTGTGCCGAAAAGTCCAATACATCGACTGCATCGTATAAAGAAGACTCGTGAGCTAAGAAATTTACACAACGTGTCAACTATAGAATGATCGATTTGCACTTTCTACCCTCTTCCATTGTGCCTGTCACGAATTTCACACCAAACTGTACCGATGTTAGCTCTTAAAACACTGTCGTTCAAAGGAGTAACGACAATCCTCGCTGTGAAACTACGAATGTTGGAGGGTAACAGTCAGAGAATACAGTAACGCACAGACTACCGGCTGCATCAAAGTGAAACACGTAAATAACTCAGAGTTCAAACGGAGCGGTGGGTGAAACCAGACAGTAGGAAATTTGCTATCACTCTCCCTGGCAAAATGAACAGTAACGAGTTTCAGTAAGGTGTACCAACGGCATCTGATGGTGCGACAGATTTTGGTATCTACGGGGCTCAATTGACTAGCTACGCAGTTCTGTGATCTGCGAAGCTGAGAGTCTGTCAAATCTAACAAGATAGGCAAGCATACTTCGATTTGATCGATCTCAAATTGATCAACGCGTACTTGCGTAGATATATCTAAAGCGCGTAATCGTGATCGATCGAATAAAATGTAAAAGGAAGGGAAAAGGAAAGCCTGTAATCGTTAGAATGCCATTATTCCTTACACTCTCATGATGAAGCCACTTTTGGCGCTCTTTTTTCATGAGGTCATGGTGCAGCCGTGATCTCTATTTCCATACCACCAATCAGGAGCACCTTATTTTGAAGGCAGAGTCGACAGAAGCTGTGGCAATCATGGTATAACTTCCTGTTACCTTCTTAAAGAGTGGTACTCGTCTATCAAGTTCAAAAGGAAGAAAGACGAGTGACTTGACCGCGGCTAGAACCCGAGCCTCTTGGTTCTGAGTCGAACGATCTACCGACAGAGCAACCCCTGTCAAATGCAAATCGCGTCATTGTGTGAAGTTGCGGAAAGTTAGGTATGCAGTACCACGGTATTACCACAGTCAGTACAAGTGGATTTTTTCTTGCAGAGCAATAAACGGCGAAACAAGTGACAGCCAGACGGTAATGAATCGCTATGTATCCAATCGAGAAATCGAACCCGCTTCGTTGCCTCAACGAAGCCTATCAGCAGATGCCATATATCTTGAAAACAAGGGCATTGGAACAACCACAGTGGTTCGTTTAAGGCTTCACACTAAAACCACTGTTCGGTGAAAACAAGGAAAAAATAAAATGACAAAAAACACATACCTGAACGTAGTTGCGAGACGCAAAACAAACCAGATCGTAAACAGTCATCGCCAGGACTTCGTCGTGAAGCGAGTAACCGCTCAACAGTACAGACGAATCCGCATCGTGCCAGTAAATCTCAGTCTTTCTATTCAACTCTAAAATACGTCTGTAAAAGTGATATCCGAAAACGACACTCCAACCTGGCCAATAACGCTGCAGCAAATAGGATAACCTTACTGCAAACCACCAAGTTTCCAGACACACGTGGACGTACCGGAAAGCTGCAGCATTCTATACATTCAGTTTATGCAAAAACCTCACAACCAAATAGAAACGAACCCTGTGCTGCAGCGTAAACTGTTGGGTGATTGTTTCAGGAATATGCTGTAGAAGATTAACTTTCATCAGCAAAGACCGAAATGAAAGCAGAATCTCATTAACACTAGACATATAAACAGACGGGTTGTCGCGAGCCACCCTAAAAACAGATATCTGAATTTGA